CAGTCTTTGCATTTGCTCAAGTCAGCAGCGTACACCCATGGGCAAATGGTGGACGCTGAATTGACCAATCAGAGCGCGTGCTTTACTTTGGTTATGTTGTAATGTACGTTGTACAATGCATCGAATATGTAAGGAGAAATTAAGTAAGGGTTACTTAATAAAGAAACCCCTCGCATTCGTCCGCGAAAAGACGGACAACAACTTTCTTTTTTTTTTATTTACTTTTCAAAATCTTGTTCTTAAAGCCCTCGTGAAATGATCAATGCAGTCGCCCTTTGGAGATGTGGCAGCCTTCTTTATTTCACGTTGACTACGCTTTTATAAGTAGTTCAAGGTGCTGAAAGCCGACAAACGAGTAAATTTGATTTGCATCTCATCTCCCGTATTGGCGGTCCCGGGTACAACTCACTTCAGTAAAGGATTTTTGTTAGAAGCCCAATGACAAAATTTATTTTCTATATATTGAAACTCCGACCGAAAACCGGAATAATTTTTCCCCTTAATTGAAATAGCTTGAATGTTTGTTTTTCCATTGTCTTGTTAAGACATAGCAAAAAAGGACTTTGTCCTCCAAAACAGAAACTACATGTAACGTCTTTGGGTCTCGAAGTCGAAAACGAAACTTCCTTATGTAGATATTAAAAATAGATTAACCAGACAATGGTTTGAGCTTTAACTTAAAAGTAGAGAGTAGGTAAATATATGACGTCGTTACCTGTCTGCAGCAGAACTTGAGGTTGTTCACAGAGGCAAGAGGTAATAAACCACAGGTCTTTCTCGCCAGAAAGTCGAGAAAAAGATCCAAAAACAACCGCGCACCAATCACTCAAGGCTAAAATCAGCAGAACGGCGGGCTTCAGCCTTTTACACTCGCGACGAAGGCAAAACGTGCTTGTTAGCGACGCATTTAAAATAAACACAGCTGCATCTGAGTCACATGTCATAAACATGCTGAATGAAAGAAAAAAATATATCTGAATCAAGAAGATGCTTCTGAGATGGAACGTCTCGCTACGTGCAAACTGCACCGTGCAAGCAGCTGGTGTTAGTAATATCCTCGCTGGGCTTTTTTTGAGATGTGATCCGGTTCTTTAGCTTCTTCTCGACGAACTACGGCCAATCAATCTGAATAAATGCCGAAGTTTTCTATAACCACGGGCAATATCGAGCGATGAAATAAAATACCGCTTCTTTGCTTTGATTTCAATGCAATGAGCTCCAGACTCTCTGAGGGCAGAAAGTAAATACACATAATCGGAGAGCACAGAAAGGTAAATATTCTATAGAACACTAGACGACTTGAATATTTTGAAGGAGGCTTTTGTCTCCATGGAATTTTCACTTTGAATATTGTTCATCACCGATAAAGAAATGAAGTGGAAAGGTCGTACTGTTTGAGAATTTCCGGTGCGATTTGAGATCATTCAAGGGGTTTCCGTTGAAAATAATTTTATATTGATACACTAGATTTTACGAATTTTTACCAGCGTTAAAACTGTTCCTACTCTTCAGACCTTTTCTGTTTGTATTTATAACATAAACAAAGTAAAGCGCGCGCTCTGATTGGTCAATAGTGTACGGTGTGGTGTTTACCATTTGTTAAGTAGGATAAAATTGAGTATTCCCAGTGAATTGAAATTTTAACGTGTTTCTTAACGGCAGGCCTTAAAGTTAGTATATATTGAAAATTCATAGAAATTCAGACTTTTTCCCCCTTATTACTATTATTTGCTTAGTTGGGAAGTACTTGACCGACTTGGCGATCTCAAACTGATAGAAGCTTCCAAAAGACGAATACTTGAACTTAATGTCCCTTAATGAAATTATGAGCGTAGGACGACCAAAAAGTCTGAGTTAGTTGCGAGTATTCGAACCACAGACGCAATGGAGTTTACTGTTAGACTTCTTGCCGATGGAAACAATTGACAAACAGCTCCAAGTCCACGTCATCGCAAGCGTAAAAATAATTTTAATATTATGCCCGTTTCGGGATAATATTGGTCAAGAGAAGCGAGTCTCTCTGCGAACTGCTGAGCCCGCGAGATCAAACAAAACAGCACCACTAACCTGAGTTCCTTACTCTTTTGGTATTGAAATTACTTCATTTCTTGCCCACGAAATGGCTAATCTAGACGAGAGGGTAAAAAAAAATTAAATAAACAAAAGCAATCCTATAGAGCACACAAAAAACGACAGTAACAAACAATCAGAACAAAGGAAATGAATAAGTATTTTTTAGACGATCATTATTTTTTGTTAGAAACTGCTTTTACGATTTTCAGATCATTTTCTCCCAAAGACGGCTGCGTCATTACATAAGAGAGTAATTAGGACAATAAATACAAAACCAAGCCAAACCATACTAAACAAAACCAAACAAAGGAAAACCAATCAGTGCTAATTACGATTCTTTGTTAGAAGTCACATCTAATATTCTTTTCGTTGATAAAACAGTACAGTCATTTTAGCCCAAGCCGCTAGGCGAGGGTTAAAAATGACTCTGAGAAGAGCCCAAAACATATTTATGCCCAATAATATAAACTGCATTTTACTATTGTTATCATTTATGAGAAAAAAAAATTAAAAACAAAACAGCCTGAACATTCACGGGAGCGTGCGAAAAGGCTAAACTACTGTTTAACCCGCCAAGATTTCCATTTTAGTTCGCAAGATGCGCCACAATGCCCAACAAAGTGATCATATTAGGGACCTTAAGCAGTCAGGACGGCAACGCTAAGGAAGACGTTGATTAAAAAATGAGTTTCTTCTTTTAATTAGAATTTGGAAAATGGTCGCATGTGTTTACGGTCTCCTATGGCGCCACACCTCAACCTCAACAAAACGCATAAAAGGAGCGTTGAGTTCCAAATGGAAATTAAAATAACTTGCCGTCGCGGTTTTGGTTTCGTAGATGACGCAAATTTTGGTGATTTCACGTTGTTGTTTTGCAGAGGACGGCTAAGAAATGTACAAAGTTTTAAAACGGAAATGCTGAGCTATTGTTCTGCCAATTAGATCTTTTGTTTTTCCACGTCCTCATTGCCGTCGCCGTCGTGGTTTGCTTAAAGTCCCTAATATTATTAATAATATTAATAATATTAATAATATTAATAATATTATTGCAGTCGGGACGGCAACGCCAAGGAAGACGTCAATTAAAAAATAAATTTCTACTTTTTTAGTTAGCATTTCGAAAATGGCGGAATGTGTTTACCGGTTCTTACTGCGCCACACATCAACTTCCGCATAACTTATATACTTATAACTGCATTTTACTATTGTTGTCATTTTTGAGAAAAAAAAATTAAAAACAAAACAGCCTGAACATTCACGCGAGCGTGCGAAAAGGCTAAACTATTGTTTAACACTCCATTTTAGTTCGCAAGATACGCCACAATGCCTAACCAGGGTTAACTCTGGGCTAACAAAGTGATCATATTATTGCAGTCGGGATTTTGAAAATGCCGGAATTTGTTTTCCGGTTCTTACTGCGCCACACATCAACCTCAGCATAACTTATATGAGTAGCGTTGAGTTAAGTGGAAATTAAAGGAATTTGCCGTCGCGGTTTCAGTTCGCAGACGACGCAAATTTTGGTGGTTTCGCGCTGTTGTTTTGCAGAGGACGTCTTAGAAATGCACAAAGGTTTAAAACGCACCTCCTGAGCTATTGTTCTGCCCATTAGATCTATTCTTTTCACCACGTCCTCGTTGCCGTCGCCGTCGTGATTTGCTTAAGGTCCCTAAAAAAAACACAAGAAGTAACTGACCTGGTAAATGTAAATGTGGCGACAAAATTTTCAATTAATGGTACATGCATCTGGTGACTTAGTATGGTTACCGTAAAGTCACTTTCACAGTTGTAGTTTCTTGGCACTTGCTCCGGCTGGAAAACATTTCTCGCTCTATTTTTTTGAAAAGAAGACCCTTCCAGAAATCTTGTTCGAGTGGTATTGCCTTAAACCGATCACAGTCTTCTTGGCAAGTGTTCTTGTCCAATCGCATGCAGCAACACGGTCATGTTCAGCAAGTCGTCTGCCTTTGGACATTGTCATATTTTCCCAGCTATTCTACGAGAAAAACAAGAACTTGGTAAAGTAAATGAGCTTTAATTTGTTAATTAAAAGTAACGCGCTTTAATTCGTTCCTACGTTCTACTCAAAAGATTATTCAACCATCTTGATGTTCAGTTTGACGGCAATTGAATTGCTTATTAAGTAAAATGTACTTTTTAGGGGCTTTACAGGGTGCCGAGATACGGGACGCTAGTGATCAGTTTGGTACAATGAATATATGAAAGTTCATATATTTTGAACTGCGGTATTAGATACGTATGATGCACCAGTATCGCAGAGGTCAGTGGTTCGAATCCCGTACAGGCCTGATTTTTTTCAGGTCTGATTTTCGCTATTGCATAAATAGCGCTGTCTACT